TCATTCGTGGGGGCGGATGCTGCAAGAGTTTAGAGGAAATACTCTCATGTCATTCGTGCTGTACTGAAACCGGATCATTACATCTCAGATATTTAAACCATCTAGAGCCAGCGTCTCCACCATTGCCACCTGAGTTACTTTGACAAAGCTTGGTAGTGAGTAACTGCTTATGCCAAGCCTACTCACCACGTTCTCTTGTAAGAGACCATGTGTTTATTTTTTCTTACCACTACGTTTTCTATTAATGCATTTGTTTGCACTTTGTCTAAATACAACTGAGCTTTTTCACTATTTTGCTTGAACCTGATTTCCTTAACCTAATCACTTGGGTATTTTTGTGGGAATCTTGGTATATCAACATAAAATGTTAAAAGCATTCTCTATGTAAGACAGGCTGCACTATTATGTGTATTTATGTATTTTTTTAAATATACCGTGAGATGTGTTGACCTGGGGCTATCTACTGGCCATTGAGTATTACTACAACCTCCTTTATTTATTTATTTATTTACCATCCTTACTTGGTTTTGGGTTATCACCTAAATGTTTATTTCACTATACTGCTCCACTCTTCTTATTTAGATTTTCTTTTGACTTTGATGTGTGTGTTGGGGGTCCAACAAATTGAGTGTGTTAGCAGCATTTCAAAATTTCATATCAACTCTAAGTTGTATCAATATTCAGATTATCTGAGCGCTCCAAAATCAAACTTAAATACTATCAGTATTCATTGTGCATAATAAGTAGGTATATTGTGAAAAAAATCATAATGAGTGGGTCAGATATAACGTGTGTGTGTGTGTGTGTGTGTGTGTGTGTGTGTGTGTGTGTGTGTGTGTGTGTGTGTGTGTATATATATATATATATATATATATATATATATATATATATATATATATATATACACACAAATACTTTAAAAAAACATGAAATTATATTACAAATGATAAATCTATAATGGAATACTTTATGTATCTATACTTAAAATAATTATTATGCAAAAAAGGCTATATTGCATATAAATGTATTTATTTATTTGTTAATTATAAATGTTATCTTGTGTGAACCTTTTCCCATGTGTATTTATCAATTAAATCTCTCTTGTGGTTAATTGATGTGTCAATATTTCTGTCTATGATTTTTTTCACAGAAGAAAAGAGAAATATTGGCACATCCATTAACCACGATAGAGATTTACTCACTATGTATCCAGTGGTTCACACTAAGAAAGGAGAAACCACCAGATATAGACCCAACTCTAGAGACAAAGATACCCCACTTGTAGTGAGGCCAAAGACATAAAGAACCACACATAGAATAAACTATTGCAATATAGATTTATCATTTGTATTATAAATTCATGCTTTTTTGAAAGTGTGTGTGTGTATGTATATGTGTATATATATATATATATATATATATATATATATATATATAGACAAAAAATTTATAGATCCATGCACTCACGCTCACAGCATATCTGCATTAACCCCTTAAGGACGGAGGGCGTACTATTACGCCCTGCAGGAGCCGGCTCTAAACGCCGGCGGGCGTAATAGTACGCCCTCACTTTAATGGCCGCCCATGTGGCCGGCGCTAGTTGCCCGCTGCAGATCGCGGTCGGGGGGGATGCCCGGCCCCCCAGGCAACCCCCCCTGTGGCCGGTGACCGCGATCTGCAGTCACCGATCGCAGTGACAGGCTGTCACTGCGATCAGTTTTTAACGTGTGTCAGCCGATTTCAAATCGGCTGACACACGTGGCCAGCGGCTACCCCGTGCAGATCGCGGTCGGGGGACTTACCTGGCCCCCCAGGCAGTCCCCATGGGGTCAGTGACCGCGATCTGCACTGTCTGAGATCGCAGTGACAGGCTGTCACTGCGATCTCAGAGCGCTCTGATCGCAGTGACAGCCTGTCACTGCGATCAGTGTTACATGTGTCAGCCTATTGGCTGACACATGTAACTGGCACACAGATCCCCCTGCAGATTGGAAGGGGGGAGTGCTTGTACCACCCAGGCACTCCCGCCTGTGGCCAATTACCCAATCTGCAGGAGGTGATCACAGTGACAGGCAGTCACTGTGATCACTGATCCTGTGTGTCAGCCAGTGATGTGAAATCACTGGCTGACACTGTCTCTGCCCCCTCTCCTGTAAAAAAAAAAAAAATATTAGTTAAAATAAATAAAATTACAGTTACATATAAAATATACTTAGATCATATATAATATATATATGATCTAAGTATATATATATATACACACACACACACACACACATTTACACATACACGAAGTGTATTTAAATATTAATATATATAATTATTTATATATATTACTATTGAATTACACGTAGACTGATACTAATTAAATATATATATATATATAATTATTGTTTTATATATATATATATATATATATATATATTTATATAATATAAAAAATGTAAATACGTAAAAAAATAAATAAAAAAAACATTAAAAATAAATAATTAAAAAATATATAGATGTTTGTTATTTCGTTCTAACTGTATTGTGATATTAATATATATATATTTATATCAAAATACACGTAGAACAAAATAATATATATCTATATTCATAAATATATACGTATATATCACTATATATATATATATATATACACCTATATATAAATACAAATATAAAAAAAAATTATATATATATATGTATATATACACATATGTATATATATACATATATTAATTCTACACCTATATTTATTTAATATTTTTACATAATTAGGTATCCTAATTAATTACAATTAGCGGGACCTGCCTGACAACCCATGCCGAAAGTATAGGGAATTTAATTTGCTAGCACTATATTTAACCCTATAACTTTCCAAGACACCATAAAACCTGTAAATTGGGGGTACTGTTTTACTCGGGAGACTTCGCTGAACACAAATATTAGTGTTTCAAAACAGTAAAATGTATTACAACAATGATATCGCCAGTAAAAGTGAAGTTTTTTGCATTTTTCACGCACAAACAGCACTTACACGGATGATATTATTGCTGCAATACTTTTTACTGTTTTGAAACACAAATATTTGTGTTCAGCGAAGTCTCCCGAGTACAACAGTACCCCTCATGTACAGGTTTTATGGTGTTTTCAAAAGTTACAGCGTCAAATATAAGGCTTGCGTTTCATTTTTTTCACATTAAAATTCGCCAGATTGGTTACGTTGCCTTTGAGACCCTATGGTAGCCCAAGAATGAAAATTACCCCTATGATGGCATACCATTTGCAATAGTAGACAACCCAAGGTATTGCAAACAGGGTATGTCCAGTCTTTTTTAGTAGCCACTTAGTCACAAACACTGGCCAAAATTGGCGCTTTTTGCATTTTTCACACACAAACAAATACTAACGCTAACTTTGGCCAGTGTTTGTGACCAAATGGCTACTAAAAAAGACTGGACATACCCCATTTGCAATACCTTGGGTTGTCTACTATTGCAAATGGTATGCCATTATGGGTGTAAATTTCATTCCCGGCTACTATACAGTCTCAAAGGCAACGTAACCAATCTGGCGAATTTCAATTTCAAATGTAACGTGCTATATTTGACCCTGTAACTTCCCAAAACGCCATAAAACCTGTACATAGGGGGTACTGTTTTACACGTGAGACTTTGCTGAATACAAATATTTGTATTTTATTGCAGTAAAAGCAAACAGTATTATGACACTGACCGTTAAAATGTCATGTAGAACTAAAAAAATTTAAAAAAATCGTATTTTCCCCCATTTTTTTCATATTAAATTATGTTTCATAGCTAAATATTTGATATTAAATGAAAGCCCTGTTTCCCCTGAATAAAATGATATATAATATGGGTGGGTGCATTTACTATGAAAGAGGTGTATTACGGTTGGACAGACATGTAGCGCAAATGCCGGTTTTGTTTACATTTTGTTTCGTTCACAACGTGTACATTTGGCTCCATCCTTAAGGGGTTAAAGCATTAGTAATACTTGCCGGGTGCCAGTCCCCTTGGGGCAGTAAACTGACATAAAGACAAGAAAGTCCTGGGCTGCACTCAAGGTCTTTAGAATGAAAAAATTAGTTTATTCCATAAAATGAAAGAGATCGACGTTTCGGTCCACACAGGGACCTTCCTCAGGATCAAATGACATAAAGATACCTCACAAATACATTTAATATATAGCAGCAATAATCATAGAAAAGTGACTTACCCCAGGTGTAAAAACTAAAAACCTTGGCGTTCCCCTCGCGCCATTGTGCATGCGCGGAGTAACCGCGCCCTCACGTTGACCCACGAGCTATGCACGATGACGTCACTATACGTCGTCACCAAGGCAGCGCTGTAAGCATCACCGTGGATACCGTCTAAAACACCAAAATAAAGGAGAACCGAGTTGTGAATAAACACGAGGTGTTATAATAGAAAAAAGATAACAATAGAGAGATTATTTAAAAAATGACACATTGTATATAACATGCTGAACAAGGAGCCCCCCCCCCCGCAGATGGTCACCTTCCTACACACTACACCCCTATACTGTCACCTGCCTAGCATACACACTGTGCCCCATACTGTCACCTTTCTCCACACTGCCCTGTTATACTGTCACCATCCTACACACTGCCCCCCTATACGGTCACCTTTCTTCAGGTAAGAGGCGGGGGGGGGGGTTAAGCCCAATTTAATTTGAACGGCTCACCCCCCCAGCACTTATCCAACACTACATGCACTACACAGACACTACTTCATGCACATACACTACATCCACTACACAGACACTGCATCCACCACATAAACACTAGATACACTACACACAGACACTGCAAAGACATGAAAAGCAGGGGCACAGAGACATGGATGGAAGGGGGTGGGGGAGCAAAAAAGACACGGATACTTCAATCCCTGGGGTAGATGCGAGCTGTACAGACAGTGCGGCTACATCTAAGGTGTGAAAAATTATCTGAAGTTTGCAGAGGGATTAAGGGAGTGTGTGTGTGTGTGTGTGTGTGTGTGTGTGGGTGTATATATATATATATATATATATACACCTATACACACACACACATCCATACACGTTTTATAACGGGCCCCCCCGAGTCAGTGATAAAGATTTCACCCCCCTCCTTCATTCCATGCACTTACCTGGTCCTGGGAGCTCCTCTTTCTTTCCTCCCGTGCGGCCGTCTGCAAAGAGCGCTGGGAGGAGGCGACATAATCGCATGTCACATCACTTCCTCGCAGCAGTCACAAAAAATCTACGGATTACATCTGCTGGACCCAAGGGGGAAAAAAATGCTAATTTGTGAAGCCGCAGATTGAGTAGCGTGAATTTTCAGGGTATTACTGTACCTAATTATTTGATTTAATTTAATTTGAGGGACCTGCCTGACAGCCCAGGCAGACAGTCCAGAGAATTTAATTGGCAAGCAATAGACAAATAAAAGAAGGTAAGGGTGCGCCTAAAATGTATAATAAATCTTATATAATGTATAAAATATAACAATTATATAAAATATGAAATTTAAAATTATAAGACAAGTGAGATAATAGTCCAAAGCACTTATCGAAAGTTCGTTATAGTAGATTCTCCTTGTAGAGACAGCAAATCTTAGGACGTCAGACGGAGTTGAAACTTCACAGTAGTGTGCTTGGATCCGGTGAGGTATATATATATAAAAGGAAAGCAGAAAAAAGAAACTCCAATGGTACAGTATATCAATCAAAATATAAATTTTGAAATAGTGCAAATGGTCCTACTCACACTTTATGGAGCTAGAATTTAGCTCCAATATATGCGCGTGAAGTGGAATAATCCCCACTCATGGATATATAGTGTTTGATTGGAGAATTCTTAGTCCGTGCTCAGCGTTCCAATCAATTTGACCCAAAATTGAGAAAATACAAATATAGTGCTCTCTGTTTGTAATATAAAAGTGATGGTATATAGAAAATTACTTACATTGTATAGAGCAGACTTGTACTGCTCAATATAAACGCTTAGGTGGTACAATCCCCACCCCTGGATTCTTTCAATTTCTTGTAGATGTAGGTCAGGTGCAGATAATAAAATAAATAAATTAAAAAATATAAAGAAAATGGCAATAAAATATTTTAGGCCAAATAGGATTCTTTATTAGAAATAAATAAATTAAAATACTAATAGTATCTAGACGCCTCAAAAGGCTTCTTCAAGTAGATAGTTATAAGGGAGGGCACACCTGACATACAAAGGTTTATATAACATACAGTACTTCTATGGAAATTTGAAATTCCCGCCAAAATGACGTCACTGGAATATTAAATTTTTTTTTAAAACAGAGATTAAAAAGCATATTTATGTAGTGCAAAGAAATAGGATATAATTATAAAGAGATGAGATAAAAACGAGCATTAAAACAGCTGAAATAGGCAATAAACGAGCGATCACGTGACGCGCGGATGTTATTACTTCCGCTTCACGTGATGTTCAAGTGGAATGCATGCGTCATAATCACGTGACGCACGGCTGGGATTGCTTCCGCGTCACGTGATGATCGGGTAGGACGCATGCGTTCCATCTAAGCGGAACAAATGTGTCATAAGATGGGAGGGGGTGCTCTCTAAATTTAAATAAAAGGGGGAGGTATAAAACGAAATAAATATTGAACGGAAGCTTCCACAATGAACTATATGTGGGAGCATACAAAGAGATGAACATAGATGCAATCAAATAATATTGAGCATCATCTATATGCATAGTGTTATACACATAAGTTGTTTGAACATAAAACCAAATATAGTAAATTGTACATGATATGAATATAGTCAAAACTTATTATAAATAATTGAATATAGATTATAAAAATACAAATGAAATAAGAATATATTATTAAAGGAAAAAATTAAAATACATGGTAAGAAATTGTGGCTAATAATGAATCATTAATTGCAGTAGAGTTTAAATGTGGTTAAAACATGTTATAAATAGTTGGTACAAATATTAAAATACAAATAAAAATAATAAAAAAATAAATAATAAAATGAATAATAAAAATGAATGAAAAAGGGGGATGATAGTAAATTAGTCACTGTGAAATTCCAGTATATATTATTCCAAAAAATTAAAGAGATCAAAATCAATGTTTAACCCTGTAGGGGCAAGAGTTTTTAAATTATATGCCCATTCCATTTCTTTCTTACCCAATACTTTTTTAATGTCTCCCCCTCTCCACGGAATGTTACATGTATCGATACCAGTACATTTAAGGTATTTTGGGTTTTTTCCATGTTGTAGGAAGTGTTTCGAAACTGAATGGTTTTCATAGCCTTTTAGGATATTCCTACAATGTTCAGCTAATCTTGTTTTAAGATCTCTAGTGGTCATGCCCACATATTGAAGACCACAAGGGCATTCTAGAAGATAAATCACATTTTTCGTGTTACAATGAATAAAATGTTTTATTTGATATACTTTGTGTGTTATTGTTGATGTGAATGATGTCGTTTTTGATTTAATAGCATCACTAGTCCGTTTACAGACTATACATCTGTTGCATTTTAAAAAACCACTAGGTTTAGTTAGAAAGGTGGGGGGACTAGGGGATAAAGTGCTCTGTTTTGTATAGTTACTTGTAAGGATAGACTTAAAACTGGGTGCCCCTCTAAATATAACTTGTGGTTTCTCAGGGATAATCCCAGATAAAGTCTTATCCTGTTTTAATATATGCCAATGTTTGTTTATAATCTTCTTCATAACATTGCTTTTGTTATTGAAGTCGAAAATAATTGGCAATACTGGGGCAGTTTTGATCTCTTTTTTAGTTTTATATTCTAATAATTCAGATCGGTTAGTTGCACTAATGTTTTTTAATGTATTTTTTAAGTTACTTATGGGGTAGTTTTTTTGAGCAAATTTGCTAGACAGCAGTTGAGATTGTTCCTCAAAATCTTGTGTAAGGGAACAATTTCTGCGTAAACGAAGAAGTTGACTTTTGGGAATTCCTTGGAGCCAGGAATTGTGGTGGTAACTGGATACATCAATGACATTATTTGTACAAACTTCTTTAAAAAATGTTTTGGTATGAATATGATCGTTGTTAATAAAAACTTCTAAATCTAAAAAATGGATAGAAGATTTGCTATAGTCCCAGGTTAAAACAATACCTTTGTCCTTAATATTAAGATGCTGTAAGAATAGATTAAGAGAGTTTTCAGGGCCATCCCAGATAAAAAACAAATCATCTATATATCTAAAATAGGTGACCAGTTTTGTCTGCCAGCTATGCCCTCCAAAAATGGCAGTGGATTCCCAATCTGCCATAAAAAGGTTGGCATAGCTGGGTGCAAACCTGGTCCCCATGGCAGTACCCTGTATTTGTAAATAAAAAGAGTCTAAAAACCAAAAATAATTGTTTTTTAAAATAATATTAATACCCTGAATGATAAAATCTATCTGATGATCTGGGATGTTTTTCTCCGCTTTTAAAATATTTTCTACTGCTTGACAGCCTTGATCGTGACGGATGATAGTGTATAAAGATTGTACATCACAGGTCACTAAAATATATGTATTTTCCCATGTAAAATTATTTAAAAACCGAAGTAAAGTCATAGAGTCTTTTAAGTATGACTTTGTACGTTTCACTGAGGGCTGTAAAAGAATGTCTAGGTATTCTGATAAATTGGATAAAATAGACTTAATCCCTGAGACAATAGGCCTCTCAGGAGGGTTAGTAATATTCTTATGGATTTTTGGTAAGAAGTATATAACAGGGATGATAGGATGGGATATATTCAAATATTCAAATTCTTGTTTGGTTAAAATATTTTGTTCACGACCCTTAGTTAAAAAGGAAGTTAAAACTTGTTGAATTTTGGATGTTGGGTCGTGTATCAATTTTTCATAGACTGTATAGTCGTTTAGTTGTCTCATAGCTTCTTTGATATACATGTCTTTAGTTACGATAACAATACCTCCCCCTTTATCCGCAGACTTTATAACAATATTTTCATCTTTTTGTAATTGTTGTAATGCTACACGTTCTGCTTGTGTGAGGTTATCTTGATCATATTTATTTTTCTGAATTTTCTCTAAATCTTTTGTGACTAGTTTTTCAAAAACTATTCCTATCAAAATGACCAGATACCCAAAATACACCATCACCGTTTGCCTAGAAGAGAGATTCAATATCCCTCTTACCCCCCTGTAAGAAAGCCATCATTTTGATAGGTCATAGAGGATGAGTAAGGTCTGTTGTCTGGAATATTTCTTTTGTGGTAGGAAAGAACCTGATTATTGGAATAGTCTTGTTTATCACGAATATATTTCTTTACCTTAATGTGTTTGGTAACAGATATCAATTGTTATCTGTGGATTCAGAAACAGATAATGATGATTATTTTTTAGAATTGAGCACACAAAACAACGCATATGCACTAACGCCACATCCTACAAAAACCAAAAAACGAAGTCTAAACTTAGAGGAAGGAGAAGTGGCAGAAGACTCCAAAAGAGAAAGGCTAGACAAACATTAATTAAACAAAATGAAAAAGATCTTGGAATTTTTAATCTATCCCAAAAGGTACTAACATCCACTCAGATATCAGTCTTAACTAAAGGTCTAAAGTTTGCCCCTATAAATCCTTTTAAACCTTTTAAAGCTTTTATAGATATTAACAAGTTCGTCAGAAAAGCTACTCTCAAAAGATTCTTTGCCCATAAAGACACAGAAACCTCTAATCCACAATCTATAGTTATTTCACCAATAGGACCACAAAAAATTATTTCCACTCCTTTAAAGAAAAATTCGACTTTTTTTCCTTCTAGTTTTAAATCAGGTCCTTTAGAAGTTTTTGAAAAACTAGTCACAAAAGATTTAGAGAAAATTCAGAAAAATAAATATGATCAAGATAACCTCACACAAGCAGAACGTGTAGCATTACAACAATTACAAAAAGATGAAAATATTGTTATAAAGTCTGCGGATAAAGGGGGAGGTATTGTTATCTTAACTAAAGACATGTATATCAAAGAAGCTATGAGACAACTAAACGACTATACAGTCTATGAAAAATTGATACACGACCCAACATCCA